TAAGGGGATGTCCAATGTCTACAGATGGGCTTTGGGTCTCCACTCCACCCTCCCTCTCATTCGCATCAATATGATTTTTTGTTTTGGGTCTTTGATGCCTGATCCCTGATCCCATCAACACCCCATGATCACACAGGCTGGTGTGCTTCTTCCATGTAGGCTTTGTTGCTTCTCAGCTAGATAGCCGCTTGTTTATCTTCAAGCCTTTAAGACCCCAGTGATATATCTTTTGATCAGCTTTCTTCACCACATTTGCTGATGCACCTACTTTGTCTTTAGCAATCGTGTCAGGAGGTGAGCATCACAGAATGCAAGATGGCCATTTTTATGTCTTATATAGTTCAACACAATTACCAAAAAAAGTTCCAGTTTATTAGTCAAAAATCTCCAAAGTAGACAAGTCAAAAAATTTAAATAATTCCAGCTTAAAACTATGACAACAAAATGGCAAGGTACCCTAACCCCACCCCTTCCTTCTCAGCTGCCTCTTCGCCATGACTTGAGAGTGCCTAAAGGGGGAAGACTCCCCAGAGCCCCAAACTCCGGAGGCTCCTGGTGGAGGAGCATCCCGTTGTCAGAAATATCTCTGATTCCCCCACCCCCACACTTCCAAGAACCGCTGCGGGTTTAGGAAGAGCCAAAGGCCAGGCTCTCTCTCCTGGGGAGGTGGCCTGCCCAGGCCGTTTAGTGACCACCACACGTCAGCCCCCCTGAGATTGTAACGCAAGGAAATGAGGTCACCCCTGATAGGGTCAACAGCTCTTCAACCCCGGCCTGTGGTTCCGGTGCCATAAGATGCTTATTCTGGCTGAGCACCGTGGGGTGGGAGGCATGTTTGCATGGGCTTTGGACAGGTCAGTAATTACCCGAGGGAAATGACCACAGGTGTGGGGGCACTGAGGTTCAAGGGCACACCCCCTCCTTAGAGAACGGGCCACACAAGGCTCCGCCCCGGCCGTGTACAGCCTGGCTCCTGCCACTCTTGGTCATAACCTTAGAGACAGAGCAATAAAATGAAGTAACTAGAACTCCCATGGGTGCTTGTAGGGCAATACAATTTATTACACTTTACAGTTAGGATTTAACTGGATTATGTGCCAGCCACCAGGCATAATGCTTGATAATGATCCCCTCAGGGAATCATCAAAACAAACCAACCTTGAATGAGAGATGACTGTTGGCCCCCCTTGACCATGGGGAGGACTGAGGCACTAGGAGGCTAAAGCTGGTGACTAGAGTCACACAAGGTTAGTAAGTGGTGGAAGCAGAGCCACAACCGGGTCTGCCCAGCACCAGAGCCCAGACTCAGCACATCCTCCCTTCCAGCCCAGGGCATTTCAGAAACCCGGGAGCATGGGCTGTTAGCTGCCAACAAGCCAGCCCCAACACACAGTGCCCTCACATACAGTGGCCACCACACTGACCAGTCCCTCGCCATCCCCAGGGGCTCAGACCCTCCTGCTCCGCAAGCATTCCATTGACTGATTTTCTGAAGTGGGTCGCCAGGCCTTTCTTCCTAGTCCAGCTTCGTCTGGCGAACCTCCACTGACAGCCAGTGGGTAGAGGGCGAGGGGAGGTGGTGTATTGGCCAGGAATCGAACCCAAGTCTCTGGCATGGGAGGGGAGAGTTCTGTCACTCACCCACCACGGCCTCCTGGTCAGACTCTCCTGGAGGACTGCTGGGGACCCTTCTGGAATAAATGGCCAAGTAGGCAAACCAGCGCTCCAGGGCAGGG